AAGCACATATCCAAACTACACAAACCAACCCAAACCTAAAATCTACATAAAGTACAAAATCACAAGTTGTATTTCGACACTACTATATGTTGTATTCGACTCTGTCAAACACAACTGACTTTTGAATTTTGACTAGTTACTTCGACACAGTCGAATGTTAGCTTTAAACCAAAATATCAAATTACAACTTCTAACACCCTCCCTAATTCATGTTCTTGAGACTTCTCATCTTGATGCTTCTCTTCAACTTGTTAAACCTGACTTTCTTCAAGGATTTGGTGAGTATGTCAGCTAGTTGCATGTTTGAAAATCGGTGGATTCGCTAGAAATTGCGTTGATGTTGTTGTTCTCTTTGCTATTACAAATTCTCTCTGAATCGCAACAGGGCTTCTTGAGCCCAATTTGTTGGAACAAATATTTTCAAGAAAGATGAAAGGCAGAGAAAAAAGAAGAGAGAAAAGAGAGAAAGAGAGAAAGAGAGAAAACTATAAACTAAATTATGAAAAATTAGGATGGAGTGAATTTCTTTGTTTACATCCTACAAAATCATTTATATAGGCAACCAAAGCACATATCAAAACTACACAAACCAACCCAAACCTAAAATGTACATAAAGTACAAAATCACAAGTTGTATTTCGACACTACTGTATGTTATATTTGACTCTGTCAAATACAACTGACTCCTGAATTTCTACTAGCTACTTCGACACAGTCGAATGTTAGCTTTCAACCAGAACATTAAATTACAACTTCTAACACCCTCCCTAATTCATGTTCTTGAGACTTCTCATCTTGATGCTTCTCTTCAACTTGTTGAACCTGACTTTCTTCAAGGATTTGGTGAGTATGTCAGCTAGTTGCACATTTGAAAATTGGTGGATTCGCTAGAAATTGCATTGATGTTGTTGTTCTCTTTGCTATTACAAATTCTCTCTGAATCGCAACAGGGCTTCATGATACCAATTTGTTGGAACAAATATTTTCAAGAAAGATGAAAGGCACAGAAAAAAGAAGAGAGAAAAAGAGAAAGAGAGGAAACTAAAAACTAAATTATGAAAAATTAGGATGGAGTGAATTTCTATGTTTACATCCTACAAAATCATTTATATAGGCAACCAAAGCACATATCCAAACTACACAAACCAACCCAAACCTAAAATGTACATAAAGTACAAAATCACAAGTTGTATTTCGACACTACTATATGTTATATTCGACTCTGTCGAATACAACTGACTCCTGAATTTCTACTAGCTACTTCGACACAGTCGAATGTTAGCTTTCAACCAGAACATTAAATTACAACTTCTAACACCCTCCCTAATTCATGTTCTTGAGACTTCTCATCTTGATGCTTATCTTTAACTATTTGAACCTGACTTTCTTCAAGGATTTAGTGTGTATGTCAGCTAGTTGCACATTTGAAAATTGGTGGATTCGCTATAAATTGCATCAAATTCTCTCTGAATCGCAACAGGGCTTCTTGATACCAATTTTTTGGAACAAATATTTTCAAGAAAGATGAAAGGCAGAGAAAAAAGAAGAGAGAAAAGAGAGAAAGAGAGAAAGAGAGAAAACTATAAACTAAATTATGAAAATTTAGGATGGAGTGAATTTCTATGTTTACATCCTACAAAATCATTTATATAGGCAACCAAAGCACATATCCAAACTACACAAACCAACCCAAACCTAAAATGTACATAAAGTACAAAATCACAAGTTGTATTTCGACACTACTATATGTTATATTCGACTCTGTCGAATACAACTGACTCCTGAATTTCTACTAGCCACTTCGACACGGTCGAATGTTAGATTTCAACCAGAACATTAAATTACAACTTCTAACACCCTCCCTAATTCATGTTCTTAAGACTTCTCATCTTGATGCTTCTCTTCAATTCATTGAACTTGACTTTCTTTAAGTATTTGGTGAGTATGTCAGCTAGTTGCACATTTGAAAATCGGTGGATTCGCTAGAAATTGCGTTGATATTGTTGTTCTGTTTGCTATTACAGATTCTCTCTGAATCGCAACAGGGCTTCTTGATACCAATTTGTTGGAACAAATATTTTCAAGAAAGATGAAAGGCAGAGAAAAAAGAAGAGAGAAAAGAGAGAAAGAGAGAAAACTATAAACTAAATTATGAAAAATTAGAATGGAGTGAATTTCTATGTTTACATCATACAAAATCATTTATATAGGCAACCAAAGCACATATCCAAACTACACAAACCAACCCAAACCTAAAATGTACATAAAGTACAAAATCACAAGTTGTATTTCGATACTACTATATGTTATATTCGACTCTGTCGAATACAACTGACTCCTGAATTTTTACTAGCTACTTCGACACAGTCGAATGTAAGCTTTCAACCAGAACATTAAATTACAACTTCTAACACCCTCCCTAATTCATGTTCTTGAGACTTCTCATCTTGATGCTTCTCTTCAACTTGTTGGACCTGACTTTCTTCAAGGATTTGGTGAGTATGTCAGCTAGTTGCACATTTGAAAATTGGTGGATTCGCTAGAAATTGTGTTGATGTTGTTGTTCTCTTTGGTATTACAAATTCTCTCTGAATTGCAACAGGGCTTCTTGATACCAATTTGTTGGAACAAATATTTTCAAGAAAGATGAAAGGCAGAGAAAAAAGAAGAGAGAAAACTATAAACTAAATTATGAAAAATTAGGATGGAGTGATTTTCTATGTTTACATCCTACAAAATCATTTATATAGGCAACCAAAGCACATATCCAAACTACACAAACCAACCCAAACCTAAAATGTACATAAAGTACAAAATCACAAGTTGTATTTCGACACTACTATATGTTATATTCGACTCTGTCGAATACAACTGACTCCTGAATTTCTACTAGCTATTTCGACACAGTCGAATGTTAGCTTTAAACCAGAACATTAAATTACAACTTCTAACACCCTCCCTAATTCATGTTCTTGAGACTTCTCCTCTTGATGCTTATCTTCAACTTGTTGAACCTGACTTTCTTCAAGGATTTGGTGTGTATGTCAGCTAGTTGCACATTTGAAAATCGGTGGATTCGCTATAAATTGCATCAAATTCTCTCTGAATCGCAACAGGGCTTCTTGATACCAATTTTTTGGAACAAATATTTTCAAGAAAGATGAAAGGCAGAGAAAAAAGAAGAGAGAAAAGAGAGAAAGAGAGAAAGAGAGAAAACTATAAACTAAATTATGAAAATTTAGGATGGAGTGAATTTCTATGTTTACATCCTACAAAATCATTTATATAGGCAACCAAAGCACATATCCAAACTACACAAACCAACCCAAACCTAAAATGTACATAAAGTACAAAATCACAAGTTGTATTTCGACACTACTATATGTTATATTCGACTCTGTCGAATACAACTGATTCCTGAATTTCTACTAGCCACTTCGACACGGTCGAATGTTATATTTCAACCAGAACATTAAATTACAACTTCTAACACCCTCCCTAATTCATGTTCTTGAGACTTCTCATCTTGATGCTTCTCTTCAATTCATTGAACTTGACTTTCTTTAAGTATTTGGTGAGTATGTCAGCTAGTTGCACATTTGAAAATCGGTGGATTCGCTAGAAATTGCGTTGATATTGTTGTTATGTTTGCTATTACAGATTCTCTCTGAATCGCAACAGGGCTTCTTGATACCAATTTGTTGGAACAAATATTTTCAGGAAAGATGAAAGGCAGAGAAAAAAGAAGAGAGAAAAGAGAGAAAGAGAGAAAGAGAGAAAACTATAAACTAAATTATGAAAAATTAGAATGGAGTAATTTCTATGTTTACATCCTACAAAATCATTTATATAGGCAACCAAAGCACATATCCAAACTACACAAACCAACCCAAACCTAAAATTTACATAAAGTACAAAATCACAAGTTGTATTTCGACACTACTATATGTTATATTCGACTCTGTCGAATACAAGTGACTCTTGAATTTTTACTAGCTACTTCGACACAGTCGAATGTAAGCTTTTAACCAGAACATTAAATTACAACTTCTAACACCCTCCCTAATTCATGTTCTTGAGACTTCTCATCTTGATGTTTCTCTTCAATTCGTTGAACTTGATTTTCTTCAAGTATTTGGTGAGTATGTCAGCTAGTTGCACATTTGAAAATCGGTGGATTAGCTAGAAATTGCGTTGATGTTGTTGTTCTGTTTTCTATTACAGCTAGTTGCACATATCCAAATGTACATAAAGTACAAAATCACAAGTTACATTTTAACACTACTATATATTTTCCTAGTCAACTAGCTATTTTAACACAATCGATAGTTTTCAATTAGAATATCAAATTACAACTTTTAACAATAATTCAAAAAATTATAATTATTTTAAAATAAATTTTATATGTTAAAATGACTCATTTTGAAACAGAAAGATATTTATTTTATTCAGTTTTTGAAATATAATTTATATGATTTGTTAGTATTAATTCTTTGAATAAACAATAAATATAAAAAAAAAAGTTTGTGAACGTTTTATGCATAAAAACATATGTTACAAATTCTAGAGAATCCTCTTACTCTTCTAATCACTAGTATTGTTGTTATTTCCTAATTAATATTTTTTTTCCTTATTCCAATTCAAATAAATTGGATTAATTGTGGAGGTAATGTGATAACATAAATTTTCAATTAAAAACAGTTGTTTGTTTGTTTCAACAATATATTATATTTAAGCACAACAAAAAGAAAATCAAATTTTCACCCTCCATTACCAACAATAGAGGAAAGTCAAATGAATGGAAGCAAACAAATCATAATAATATTACATGTCACAAGTCACAACCCATTAAAAAAAGTACAATGATAAATGAATGTGTTACATAAGAATATATGAATAACAATAAATCATTAATAATAATAATTCATATTTCAAACAAAACCTAGAAGAGTCTTCATCCTTCATCCTATGCACAAATCAAACTCCACATAGTTAAAGCATCAAAAGAGAAACCCAAATGCAAGAGCTATGAGAGAAGCAACAGCACTTGGAACGAAAAGAGTAGTAGCATCAGAAGCAGGACTAGGAGCTGGTGAATCAGCAGCTGAAACGCCACTTGTAGCTATCACCAAAACAGCAACCATAACCGCCACAAAAACATTCATCTTCGATGCTTCCATTGTTTTAAAGAGAGAGAATGATTTGAAAGAAAGAAGATTAGTGGTTGTAGTAGTGGCAGTGGGTGGAAATCACAGTGCGGTTACGGTTGGTTTTATATAGTTACGGGCAGGGAAAAAAAGACGGGCAGGCTGACCGGAGTTCTTTTGTTGCTGCCCGTTTTGTTGGACAGGATGTCTTTATTGAAAATTCTTGGTGGTATACAGCTGTCGCCAACGGTTTATGGGGTCACCAATTTATTTTTCTTTGAAAAATAAGAGAAACTACCTTTTTCATTTTCCTAAATATAAAAATTGATATGCGAGGTTTTTTTAAAGGAAAATAATTGGTGTCGCTTGGGTTGTGTCATGGTGTGGTTGGTTAATAATTTGGATTACTGCTTAATTGGTTTGAGGGATTATTCATTTTTTGTGTTTTGTTTATTTGATTAGTTAATTAATAAAGAAAGTCGTGGGGGTGGTGAGTACCGTTGAGCTGGTTTGAGACTTAGTTATCTGGATTATTATTTTTCATACTATTCTCATGGATTCTTCCTATTGTCTGTATTAATACAATTTCAACATTGATAATTTCTATGTATACTAACTAATCTCGTTAATTTTCCTCGTGTGATTCTTGGTTATTATTCCAATTTAGGAATGTATTTCTATGAAGGTAAGGTTGGTGGTCATAGAGGAGAAAAGATAAGAGAGTTTGGATATAATAATAGTACTAAATATGATGAAAAATAAACATGATAGAATGGTAAAATTAATAAGTAACCTTATTTATTCTTTGAGAAAAATTAATTTTAAATAAATTTATGATTCACAAATTTAACTAAATATAAGTCGAATATAAAGTAGTTTATATTTAAAATCAAAATAGTTCTACAAGGATTAGTTTTATTATCTTGTCCAAACTTGAAACCATAACAAACACGAATTCTTGTATATGCTTGATGTGCAAGAGTTATAGAAATTAGGTCTTCTACTATTAAATTATCATTATATATATTTTATAAATTAAATAATAATATATAAAGATAAAACATTACTTTTATTTAAAAATGTGATTAGGCCTAACTAAATTTTACAAAATCGGTTAGTAAGGATGAGGATTGTCTCCACTTGTAAAGACGTGTTTATGCCGAATATTATCCGATGTGAAAATCTTAACAATTTTGATATAAAAAAGTACACAGAAAACGCGAGAGAAAAAACATATGTTTGATGTAATTTATTTTCATTCAAATTTTATTCATAGAAATTTATTTTTATTTTAACTTTTATAAACATTTTCTTTTTATAACAACTTCATTCTCTCATTTTATTTTCTCTCTATACATTACTACTAGAATAGAGAGGACATAAACAATTTAAATTAAGAGTAAAATTAAACAAACAAAAAATATCATTTATATTTTCACTTGTGTGCATTAAAATAAACAAAGACACGTATATAAGAGTGTCCATATCAACCCTAATCCTATATTATACCTTCGTTACAAATTATCATTGTGACAAAATTATATTTAATTTGTTTTAAAATAAATTAGCTTACATATTTTAAAATTTTAATAATAACTTTTATTTTTGAATAAATTATTTAAAATTTTAAATACTTTTACATAATAATTTATGAGGGCAAATAAAAAGAGCCAACAAACTATTAATTTAGAGGTTAAACATACCAATTTAGATGACAACTACGTCTCTTCAACCATACAAGACGATCAAGGAAGTTAAGGTCAAACATACATTATTCATCAAATCCAACCTATTACATAGCGGTAAGGCCTTCTCAAGTTCATTTGAGACTTATACATCATGTATCTTTCATCTCTTGTTATTCACAACTAGTAATTTTGCCACAACTAACTCTGGGGCACCCACTTCTGAATGATACATAAAATCAATTTAATCTTCAATCAAGATATGTAAGAATGAAATATAACTAAATTGACAAAATAAAACAACAAAAAAATCAAGAAAATGCAAAGCATTCGAAAGAAAAAGAAAATAACGCGGTAAAGAGGAAATGAAAAAGAAAAAGAAAAAGAAAAGAGAATGTGTAATAAATAGAAAAGAGAATGTGTAATAAATGAAGAATGATTCAAAGAAAAATAATTATTTATTCTGAGCTCGTCCATATTATAACATAAGAAAGATTTTAGTAATTCATAATTTGATAACTTGTTTTTATTAATATATATATATATATATATATATATATATATATATATATATATATATATATATATATATATATATATATATATATATATATATATATATATATATATATATATATATATATATATATATATAATTAATCTAACTGTGAATGCAGGTGTATGGTAACAGAAAAACATTCACCCTTCTAAGAGAAACACTTATAAGATAGAGATGAATGATTGATTTTCAGTTGAGTAGAATATTTGATCGTATCCTTTTGTTTTATAACAACTTATTCATACACATGCTTTATTCTTAATGTTACTATGACTTTCTTGAATTTATCTACTAACAAAATCATGCATAGTACTGAAAAAACACGTTCATTTAAAACATTGAGTTGTGTATTTATCTACAGATGAAATCATGTTTTAATGTTTATCTTACTTTTGTTTTAAGGAAACTAAAATGTTAAGTTTTTTAGAGTTGATAAGTGTGTTATTTACCTAATTGTCACTATAATTTTCACACACATATTAGCTTACTTAGACACAAAGTAATAATGAAAACCCCCGATTCATGCTTAATTGAGAATTTTCTAGATGAATATGCATTTATCCTTTTGTATATCTTTTTGTTGAGAATAATATAACAAGTGTGAGTTGGAGTCCCACATTAGTTATAAATATGGAGAGTTGAGCATTTATAAGTGGGAGAACCCATACACCTATCACCTTAAGATTTTGGGTGAATATGTCGTGTGTCTCTCACATAAGTGTTACTCTAGAAGGATGTTCCACTATTTAAAATGCTCATCGCTTGACCCCTTAATTGTTTCCTTAACAAATGGTATCATGAGCCTTTGGTTCAAGAAAGGGATAAACTTACTTGTATCGAAATGCCCAAGAAGTGGTGTTCTGTTAAAATCGAAATGCCTAGGAATAAGTGTATCAAAATGCTCTTGAAAGGCCCTTGAACAAGGTGTCAACAACGGTATAAGTGTTTACACTTGAGGGGGAGTGTTGTAGACTCACACTTGAAGGGGAGTGTTGAGGATAATATAACAAGTGTGAGTTGGAGTCCCATATTGGTTATAAATATGGAGAGTTGAGCATTTATAAGTGGGAGAGCCCATATGCATATCACCTTAAGATTTTTGTCCCACCATTTAGAATGTTCATCGTTTGACCCTTCGATTGTTGCCCCGAAACTTTTAAGGTTGAAAGATGAAAAAGCAAAGCAAAGAGGATCAACTGCTAAGTCAGACAAGGTATTTGACCCAATACATAGACGTCAAAGCCAAACCAAATTTATTGGTTAAATTTGAGCTCAATTAGCATAAGTGAAACACAAAAATACTAGAACACAAGAGAAATTTGTTGGATGAATCTTCATTTTCCTTAACGAATTTATGGCTGCTAATCAAGGTAGTTTAAGAATTTTTTAGTGTAATTCAACTTAAAACAAGATTCATTGGGTGAACTATAGCTAGCCTAGCAAATTGGACCAACATCAAAAAATTTATAAATATGGAGCTAGGTCAGTTCTCAAAGGATCGCGCCCTCACAAGGTAGGATTTTGGTCAAATAGTTTTTCACTCAATTAAGAAAAAATGTCTTGATCATATCCATGACATCATACATACAAAATAATAGAAAAAATTATACAGAATCATAAGAGTTATATGCAATGTCTACACTCAATATATATATATATATATATATATATATATATATATATATATATATATATATATATATATATATATATATATATATATATATATATATATATATATATATATATATATATATATATATATATATATATATATATATAAGTAAAACATTAGGTTTTCACACAAATTACTTGGTTAGGCTTTGTATGATTCCAATTCTAATCAACATGTTTTCACTAACACAAGTAATAAAATTATAACTTTAAGCAAGCAATGGTTTCATGTTCATTCTACCACTCATAGATAATCACAAAAATTAAGTTTGAACGAAGCATTTTAAACAAAACCTTTTCATGACGTCGTTTATGTTCCGACCTTGTTATTAACCTGGACTTTAGAATTCATATGCATTTGACTATTTAATTCATCTGCAATTTAATTGTCATAGACAAACAATCTTAAGCAAAACCATTTTTTTTATTTATAATTTTCATATTTGATCCAAAAGGTACTAATGTATTTAAAACTTGATCGTGTTCATGTTAAAGAAAAAACTAAAAGTAAATATCACAGATTTCATTGAGCTTTAGTCGTAACATCCATTCCCTCTGAAAAAATTTGGCATGTCCTCAGGCTATCATCATATGAAACTGGAGATTTGAATAAAAACTCTATATATATGACTTGGAATTTTTTGCTTACTGGCAACAATATTTTGTTGGGCAAACTTTGTCAGTGAAATCTTTACCTAGCATGGAAAGTTTTTTGCCTAGTGAAATATATGCAAAACGGATAAAAATCGTTTCTTCATGTTTAAGTTCATAAAAATAAAATTTTCAAAAAGAAATTTAATGCATAAAAATTGGGACACCTTCTAATAAGCGCTTGTTTAACGTTATTAACTAGACGTATGTGTTAGGGTTCCTTAATATATCTTATTTCCTTGTTCCTATTCTCTCTTATAAATTTGAGATAGGAAGACAATTGCTCCAAGGCTTCAAAGAATGATGTATTTTTCTGAAGTATTTTGAGAATGTCAATAAATCTTGAGTACTGCTTTTTTCCCTTGGTTGGAGTATGTGGATAAGGCGGATTTTTAACATATATATTTTTTAATGTTTCCTACCTTGTTCTTTGGTCTTTTGTTTCTTACTTTTCAATTAAATCC